CTGCAACCCTAATACCCCCTAACTCCCGCCCCCATACCCTCAACTCCCCCATCCTTGTGAAAATACTGTGCATGTGAGATCTAGGCCAACTGTACGAAGAGACTGTCCCTGAGCTTTACTATTGTAATGGCAAAGCGTGGTCTGAGGGGACATTGTTTTCCTTGGAATATAAAAAGCAGTCCAGTGTCTGTTGGTTGAAATAGTATAATTCGAGGAATCGACCACGTTTGGCATGATTTGGGTTACAACACATCTTGTACCATTCATCAATTTTGGTGGGTTAAGAGAGCGGAGGACCATTACAGGTATGCCAGTCTTTAATTTCAGAACATGGGGTGGTAGGCCGGCCCGTGCAATGGAGTTCAGGAATTCCACAGGATAGTGGGTTCCATCGTCCTCGTTGAGTGCAGTATTTATAGACTGATAGACTTTGGGTGTAGACGACATCATGTGAATGGGATTGTTGTTAATGTTTTAGACTGTTTCATTTAAAGGAGCTGCTATGGCCCTTTCTGACAGCCATTGCAAATTTTCCAAATTGTCTGCGAATTCGGGAAAAACTTGGTTTTATAAGGTCTTCAATAGAAGTAGAAACTTTGCCAAGTTCAAGAACGCTGATAAGTGTTGACACCTGATCTAGATCTAGATCTACTCTGCCTTTGTCTCTCAGCCACAAGTGTCATTCGTCCAATGGCTCGCCGTTTGGATGGCATTGTTATTTTATTCTCTTTGAAATCTAGATAGATCAAACTAACAACCACCTGATATACTGTCTTCGTCTCTTTGCCATACGGCCACAGTACAGCCTCTAAAATAAAAATCTATCACAGACTTAGCCACAGCACAGGTGCCAGTCATAATCAGACCTGCCTTTAGTGGCATAGTATCTCTAGATCTAGACCTAGATCTATCAAAAAGATACATCTTGTAAGTCTGACTACCACAGAAAAGCAACTCTCTGTAAGCGACCCGCAGCATCTCAACTGTGGGCGCCTAAAGAAGATTTGTTTATTTCCGGCGGAAGAACAATTTTTATATCAAGGAAAACGAAACATGTCTTGAACACTGCATTGAAATGACGAACAAGAAAATCATAAACGTTCGATAGTGTTTTCTATTTTTCTATTTTTTTAAAGGCGAATACAAGCACTTACTGAATTGAAAGAAACTTAGCTTGGTCTTCGAACTACCTTCAGTGATTTTTCCATGGTTCTACGTTCCGTAGTGGATGGTTGGCGGGTGCTCTGGTGTGGTTTGCTTCTCTTTTCCTATCAAACGTCTATCGTCCTTATCTCCCCTTCTTTTTTTTTATGTTTGTTACTCTCTTGTAACACCTCTACTCTTCTGGCGCTCATATGACCTTATGCAGTTGCGAGCGCCGTAAAACCTCTACTAAAACTAACTACGTTCCGTAGTTTTTTCAGCTATTATAGAAGACAACCATCTTCATGTACGCAATATATAATATAGTATATAGATTCCCATTTCATCTCTTTATCTCTTTAACACCCCCCCCCCCCCAGAACAACCAACAACTGGACGTGACCTCTGACCCCAGCAAGTACTCCGGGGGCACTTTGGCCACGCCGACCTTGACCGTGCTGAACCCTGACCGCACAGACAGTGGCACCTACCGGTGTCGGGCGTCTAACGGGGACGACACCGTCACAAGCCCGGACGTCACCGTCAGCATTCAGTGTAAGCGGTAGATGGGTGGATGGATGGATGGAAGGGTCGATGGATGGATGGATGGATGGGTGGGTGGATGGATGTATGGGTGGGTGTGTGGATGGATGGAGTGTGGGTGGATGGATGGAAGGATGGATGGGTGGGTGGATGGATGGATGGATGGATGGATGAATGGACGGATGGGTAGATGGATGTACGGGTGGATGGATGGATATGAATATGGATATGGATACGAATATCCGGAAAGACAGATTGATTGACTAATGAATATTATTTATGTACATGGATCTGGATCTTTATCACCCCATACAAATGAACCATACAAATGAACAAATAAATAAATGAAAAAATAATCGATTTTGAAAAATAAATAAATGAATGAGTGAATAAATGAATAAATGCATGTGAAAAA